GAAAACCAGGTCTTCAAGAGTCAAGGGGATGAATCCTTTTAGAGTTTTTATCTACACTATGAGTCCTACCTATGAGCAGAGTATGAGCTCAAACAGAGGGTATCAGTTGGTGAGGTTCCCTCGTAAGCTTTATTTGTTTTATTGAAAGGCTCAAATTATTCAGTACGCTACAAAAGTTTCACTCACCGACAAACTCGTTCATCTCACACATAGCAAGAACACTAGGAAAAGTGATACCATTATTATACATAGTACTCACTGACAATTCATTATTCTTATTCAGATTGGCTATTTCTTGTCGTTTTTCTCAGCTTAATTATTTTGGTCAGCGTCAAAAGTCCAAAAATCGAAAAATTCTCATTAATTTGCGTAAAGATATTTTCCTAACCACGAATCTGAATCAAATATAAAAAATCAATCTATTAGCCTTCTAGCCACATGTGTCAGCTTCACTTTAGGACCTTCCCGAGCTCTCTGCATTGTTTCGTCATCGAGAAATCTTGCAGCTATGAAATGGTGTTAAGATGGAAGTCGCTTTCGAGATATGGTGGCGCCAATATGTTGCATGTTTTAGGGCTTTTGGCAAAACCATCATAACTCTTGATCAGAACATCATTCGGAGCTGGGAGATATCTCATTTTGATCAGAAATGTTTGCTCTATCTCCTGGTATTATTGATAGAATTTTGGATCTGTTTTTTTATTTTATTTTGAAGCATCGGAAAGTAAAATGTTTTCGACAAGTCAGCTTTTCAAGATTTTGAGAAAACCTATTTAGAAACCTCCATACCTCTTCGATGAGAACCAAATAACATTGGATCCTAATAATATTAAAAATTAGTCCACATTTTTTACTATTTTTGTCACTGCGCTACAGTTTGTTTGCGTTATTGTAAAAATCATACTGTTTTATCGATGTAACGGTGTACTTCAAAAAATATTCTATGTTGCAGAGTGAACGTTTCTCTATAAACTGGTATGAGTTAAAGACCTTTGCATATTCGTTTTTATGATTTTCTAGTCACTTTTCAGATAGCATCTAAATCGAAATTTGGGACTATATTTAAAATCTTCGTATCTCACCAAGGGTACATCATTCGGAGTTGAGAAATATCCCATTTCGTAGAGAAATGTTTAATGTATTCAACGAACTGTTAGCAATTTTCCAAAAGCTATTAGTGTGCTTACCATATTCTTTTGAAAAAGAGAAAAAAAGGTACCATTAGCGGGTCAAACCATATATTACTTTACAATGGTTCAAAAGCTGTCAACGAAACAAGAATTGTGTCGACGAACCAAGTTAAAAAAGGTAGCGATGAATCGAGCAATAAATTACTGCGGATGAAACGATAACAATTTAATTATTGTCGACGAAGCAAGAATACTTTATTTTATACTTATTTTTATTATTTAATTAATCTGAAAAAAATGACAAGAAATAGCCAAGCTGAATAAGAATAATGAATTGTCAGTGAGTACTATGTATAATAATGGTATCACTTTTCCTAGTGTTCTTGCTGTGCGCGAGATGAGTGAGTTTGTTTGCGGGCGAAACTTTTGTCACGTACTAATTATTTAAAAAAATCGTCATTTTTTGAAAAATTGGCAAAAATAATGAAATTTTTGTGTCTTTAATTCCAACTGAAAATTATTTAAATTATAGATGGAAAATAGAGCTTTTCGAGGCGTACACGATGGCTACTTCAGCTTTCCTCTCTCACAAACTTTTAGCAAGTAATACTAGAAAAATTGTAACTACGTTTATTTTCTCACAATTTCTTATGGCATTTTACACGTTCGGATTTTACAATAAACAGTCAACACATTTTTTTTGTAGAGAATCCAACGGGGAATCTTATGATGAAAAACCTAGCTCAATCAAGTGTAAGGAGGAAAAGAAAATTTGAAAATACTAACAGTGCAATTCTTTTTGCGGCATCCGTTTTATGTACACAAACACTATGTTGCCAGAGAAAAGTGCACCGAATGCTATAAATGAAATTCAGTAAACCAAGTTTCTTTGCCAATAAAACTGTTTTAGTGTTTAATCATTTTCGTTTAGAAATAGGCACTATGGTTTGATTAGTTCATCGCAGGTATGCAGGCAATACTGTGTAATGATCGCGGTTCTTCTATAATCTTACGCGAGTATGTTCGTAGCCAGGGTTATTAGTTTCAATTAATATGGGAGTGTCAACAAAAAGAGTCGGTTTTGTATTGAGAGCACGTTTTTGTTTTTGTCTTGGTACATAACACCCAAATATGCCAAATACTATATGAGCCAGTATATAAATACTAGCAGAAGTTAATACAACATAACTGTCCAATTGACCATAAGGAATATGTTTCAAATATTTGCCGGCAAATGCATGCCATCCAAATACCATAACAATAAACATAATAGATGCCATTGAGTAAATATCCAATGATGTTAAATAGGGCACATTTGGCAAGTAATTATGAATAATAAAACGAAAATTAATTTCTGTTAATAGAGTTGTTGCACATGCACTTATTCGAGATGAAACTCCACCTGAATCATGAGCAAATGAAACAAATATGGTTGATGTGACAAAAAATAGAGGTAATAATAAATTTATGACATAAAATTGACTTTTTCTGGCTACAATAGCATTAAATCTTAAACGTGGATATTCCCGTGACTTTAAATAATGAGTTTGTTCTTGATAAATTGTTTCTTGAACGAACACAGTTTGATTAAAATCCCATATTTGATTTTCAAGTACAGCTTTATACGCCAAAAAACTATATTCTTGTTTACCAATTAGCCGTATGGACGATGTAGTATGGAGAGTCGTTATGAGAACACCTGCAATGCTTGAACGGATAAGTTTCAATGCATATTGAAAAATCTAAAAGTTTGTTTGATGTGAGGGGAAAGGATGGGTTATCTACAGTTGTCCAAGCATATTTAACTCAGTCTCAAAGTCCTATTTCATTAATATCCTATCAGCTACAATATTTCTAAACTTTTTAAAACTTCAAAATGAAAACAGACCTAAATTTTGTATATCAAATGGAAATTGGCGTACTTTGAAAGCTTCAGAAAATGTTGCTGATATTTTCTGATATTGAATTATACGCGTTCTACCATCATCTCCTGTTTCATGTTCCACTTCAAAACGTGTTCGAATTTTTGACTCTCCAATAACATTATCAAATACAAGTTGTGGATTCCAATGTGTGTCTGGATCATACGTAGTAATTTTATCTGAAGTATTAATAAACCAAGAAGAAACAACATCTATTTCAGCATCATATTTTCCCAGTACCGTATTTACAGTGGTGAGTTTACAATAAATAACATAAATTTCAACTTCTGTTAAATTGTCGAACATTAGAGTGAACGTTTAGCAAAACAACTAACATAAATCCTAAACCCAATATCGATGAATTGATATATATCAACAGTACTGTAATAATACTTATTAGTTATTGTATACAACCTCTGATATACTTTCTGTTGTCGCTAATTCAATCATCACTATTTGTCGAACTCCTTACATGCAAAGAAACGATTTGTGCTATGCTTTGATAATATAAAAGTCAATTGTTGAGTAAAAACTATCACTTAGTCACTAAACCGATGAAAGGAGGCGCGCAAGTTTGAGAGTAGGTGCATTCTGTTAGACTTTTTAAATTAATTCATTTAATTATGTCGACAGACATTATGCAGTTGATCAGGGTTTTTTCTTTTTTTTGTTTAGTCACATTTTTTGTAAAATAGGTACGCTATGATGTAGAGAACTTCTGGAAGTGGGAAAAAGTTCTCCGGATGCTGAAGATTGAGCATTGAGTGTTCTTTTTCCACAATCTGCTCTGCATCGGACACCGCAAAGTCCAAAAGTAGGACAAATCTATGCTTTTGACTTAGGAATTTTTCATATATTCATTAACAGCTTATTGTCCGGCCCCATTTGTTCACGGATTATTCGGATACAGTTTATCTATATATATATGTTGTAGATGATTTATTATGATTGCTTGATACATTGGATGGTTGCGCATGATACATTCTTTATTATGATATCATGTGCATTTCTAGTCTTTAACAAGAATCATGCAGTGTTACTGATTTATTAAACGTTACAGCACACAACTACCTACTACCAGTTTCTACCAGCAGTGGTTAGTTTTTTCTATGATATATATTCCTATTAAAAGTTCTCTAATTCTTACATCTTTTGGACCTTTCCTTTTTTCTCGTTCGAAAAGTTGCCCACTGAATACAACTAATCGTATTCTTTCTGTGAGTAGAGGATCCAAGCGGCATACAGTCAGTACGCTTTTCTAAGATGAGATGCATGAGACTTCTGAAGAGTTTCTAATTTATGTTTCGAAAACTTTTCAAAAAAAAGACTTTAAATTGAGTTGAAAGCTTTTGCTAGTAATAAAAACTTGCTCAAAGTTTCTGTCACAAGGTTGATTCGTCGTCTGCTTTTGCACATATCTATATTATCATCTGATAATTTTGAAACAGGAAAAACATACCCTTTTCAACGTTTTTGTAATTAAAAACAGCATAATCAAAAATATAGCTTTAAGTTGAAACATGCAATATATAGAGTAAATCGATGATCTTTAAGCAGGTGGAACTCCTAGTATACTATATCTGGACTATCTTTTTCTATAAAAAATAGTTTTTAATTTGCCACTCCCAGGAGTGACAAATTAATATTTACAAAATAGTCTAAAAAGCGTCAATAATACATCCTAGTAACTTTTTTCGTTATTATAAATGAGTTTTAAAATAAAAAGTTTAGACCATGAATCTGATAGACCAAGGAGGAAAACCTTTGGATTTGAACATAAAATATGAGAGTAAAAAATATTCTCTACGCTAATAAATTTTCCGTAAATGAACCTTTATAAGACTGTAAACTGGAGCACAAACAGGTATTACATAAATTAATGGATCATCTGTGACGGGTTGTCCAGTTATTGTTGATAATAAACGATAATCATCAGTTTCTGCTTTATTCTTCTCTTGTTCATCCTCATCGTCAATAACTTCTTCTACTATTACTCCCGTATCCCCACCGGATTCTTTCAGTTGACGAGGTGGAAGAGGTTTCGGTTTTGGTATGTTAGTAGATAAGGGTGGTACTTGATGATTTGGTTTTTGTACAATAGTCTGTTGTTTTTTTTTGTTCTTTTTACTACCGCCTTTTCTATTGTGCTGCTCATTACTTCCCGCTGAACATAATAATTTCATTCGTATTTCACGATCTTCGTCGTCTTGATCTGCGTATTTTTCTTTCATTTTTTTCATACGCGACCGTTGACCACGTTTTAATGGTAATTCTTTCTGGCTTTATTCTTCTCTTGTTCATCCTCATCGTCAATAACTTCTTCTTCTACTATTACTCCCGTATCCCCACCGGATTCTTTCAGTTGACGAGGTGGAGGAAGTTTCGGTTTGGTATGTTAGTAGATAAGGGTGGTACCTGATGATTTGGTTTTTGTACAATAGTCTGTTGTTGTTTTTTGTTCTTTGTACTACCACCTTTTCTATTGTGCTGCTCATTATTTCCCGCTGAACATGATAAATAATGCGGTGCGAAGTATAATGGCGGTGCGAAGTATAACCGCATGATAGCAATCATGTGCGTCTTTTTACTCCTAGATCAGAAAAGGTCTCATTTTCTATAACGATTTTTCCTACAACTACAAGTGCTATTTCAAAGATTGAAACACTAGGAGGTAGAACTGTGACTGAATGTGAAATGTCCTCTTTTGAGACTTCCTGAATGTATTGTCTCTTTTCTAGAGCATCCGAAAGTAGGGCGATTGAAGGTTTGGGACTTCGAAAAATTTCAGCAAAACGAAAATTGATCTGAGTATACAGGCTTGATGTTCATTATAGTACAATGATATTTTCACAGCTGATCTAGTTTCATTCGTATTTCATGGTCTTCATCTCGGTATTTTTCGGACCTGGTATAAATTGGTGTATCAAAATAAGTTATTAGGAAAAACTTTGCGATCCTGCGACGATTTTTCCAAAAAAAAATTGTTTTAATATAGGATTTCTTCTTATTACAAGGATATTTTGACTATTCGAGAATAAGATTTCGTCTTGTAATATGGAGTATCGAGTTCAAATCTCAACAGAAGTTCAGAATTCAATAAAAATACTTATTTCGTTAAAAACACGTTTTTCAAAATGGACTACTCTTACAGACGTATGATCCATAATGTATATTCGTTTACGGTGTAGATGTTTCAGTTATCTTCTAGAGTGATATTACATTAAATCAGCGAAGCTCACTCTGTGATACAGGATTCAAACTAAAAGAAACTCTTCTGTTGAGAAAGAATTCAAAACTGGGACCAAATTATATCGAATTAGTGTTAGAGACAGACTTTTCTTCCATCTTACGACTTGGAGTGCAACCGAAAAATTTGCGATTGCACTCCAAGTCGTAAGATTGAAGAAAAGTTTACCTCGATTTTAACAAATGTGTATTACTTTTTTTACAATCATCAGTACTTTTATCTTTCTATTTATACGATTTCTCGAATAGAAAGAATAACAGCAAATGGCGTGAATGAAAGTAGATAATGAATACATTTAATAAAAATTTTATTTATTTAGAATTTTCTTATTTAAAGGCTCCTCCTTTACATATTCATGATAACATTTCTCAAAATCTTTCGTGGACCATTCATCCCAACAGTTTTTCCCCAGCGCTTTTTTGATAACTTACTGAAGAAGTCTTAAATCCTTCCCTTCGGAGAACAATATATTTTAGCCATCGTTCGTTGTTACAAAAATATTCGAATTCCCTTATTTTCTTATGAGTGCGAAGTCTGTATCGTCGCTGTTTTGGATATCATCATCGTATAAAAACGCATTCAGGAAGTACTACATTAATGTTTGATCGAACTGTGGTGTTGTCAAAGATCTATATACAGATAGATTTATGAAGTGAAAACCATAATGTATGATTACTAAAGCAAAATCTATGCAATATTAAACAAACGTTTTTCACGAAACAATGTCGTTCCGCATTCCAATATGATTTTAAATCGATACCTTCTTACTTGATTACAAGAAACTTAGATTATGACAAATAGAAAGCTGTACTACTGCAAATGTAATACATTCAAAAACAAATTATCAACAACTACAAATAACAGCTTTGTAAACGATAGTATAAAATATTATTTATTCGAATTGTGAAATACAAAAACAGTAAGGATAGGATCTGTTTTACGACTTTTTACAATTGTAACGTGGGCTGTTGAAGGTTTTAAATAGGTTTTTAAAGGTTTTGTTATTATTTTAGTAAAAAAGTTGTATTTATTAATAAAATTTTAAATGCAAAATCCAATACTAATACTGCCAGATACTTTATTTACTTGCATACATCTGTTTCGCATGTGGCAGCTATTTGAATTAGAATATCGACACTGTTAAATTTTAACTATTTGGTAGTATAATGTAGTAAAATATAGTCTGTTTGTCCCATTACTAAGATGAATATATATCGGAATAAATGAGACAGACATAGCCCAAAACATGATATTTCTCTTTTTTCTTCTTTAGAATAAAATTTCTGAACAATAGTCGTGCGACATAAAAGAAAATACAAAAATTAACATGCGAAAGTAGAAAACGATTGTTTTTCTATTTAAGTGAAGCTGGTAAACTCAATTTTACTTTTCCAGGTAAATTTCGTGATATATCTTGATCCTAAAAGGAACGAAAATAATGTAGATTAATATTCAAAGCGTGTTTCTCATTTCATAGAAAAAAGATTCCGCCTATAACTTATCGAATTATTTGTCTAAAGAGATTACACCTCTTTGTAGCACTTCAATCGTCAATAGCACAAAGATAGTCCCCCAGAGAAATGACTAGGGGTACGTACTCTGTCAGATTTGCTCGTGAGTTATTTTGTGAGAGAACAATGTACAAAATGGTGTCGGTGACGGGAAACAACAAATAAAAATACTGCTTACTTTAATTGATTTAATAAGATCTTTCTCTAAGTTTGTTGCTGTTTTGTCATACATGAAATATTTCAATACTGTTTGTACACCTGGAAGAGAGAAGTATTAAAAAAAATGTAAGTAAAAAGAATAGTATCAATCACTCACTTTTCCCTTTTTTTCCTGTTCCTGGCGATAACTTTATTTTATATTTATAAGACTGTAAAGTACTCCATGGAGCACAAACAGGTATTACATAAATTAATGGATCATCTGTGACGGGTTGTCCAGTTATTGTTGATAATAAACGATAATCATCAGTTTCTGCTTTATTCTTCTCTTGTTCATCCTCATCGTCAATAACTTCTTCTACTATTACTCCCGTATCCCCACCGGATTCTTTCAGTTGACGAGGTGGAAGAGGTTTCGGTTTTGGTATGTTAGTAGATAAGGGTGGTACTTGATGATTTGGTTTTTGTACAATAGTCTGTTGTTTTTTTTTGTTCTTTTTACTACCGCCTTTTCTATTGTGCTGCTCATTACTTCCCGCTGAACATAATAATTTCATTCGTATTTCACGATCTTCGTCGTCTTGATCTGCGTATTTTTCTTTCATTTTTTTCATACGCGACCGTTGACCACGTTTTAATGGTAATTGTTGATTTTGCTGTTGTATGGATTCAGAATCCAAACTTTTTTGTTCATCAGTAGCATTTTCTTCCTCTTCTTCCTCTTGTTGTTTTTCTTCGTTTACTATCTCTCTTCCAGTTTTCAATGCTTTTCGTTCTTGTTTCGTTAGATAACGATGACCATGTTGCTGTTGTTTTGATTCAGTTGTAGACGATTCAGAAACACGAGGAGATGTAGATGTTGTTGATAAACGAAATTCTCCAGCAGTTGTGTGCTGATAAACAATTTGAGTATCAGGATATTCGTTATCGGACTCTTCTGAAGAAGATATTGTTTCTTTAGTGTGAGATGAAGGTATTTCTGAAATGTCCGTTGATTGTTGCACAGGTTTCTCCGAATCGTCCTGACTCTCTTCCTCATCAGATACTTCAATTTGCTGCTCATCGACATTTTCAACTAGAGAGAGTTTATCATCCTAAAATGTACATAAAAAGTGTTTTAATATTTGATAAGAGTTCACTAATATTTACTAAAAGATAGATTAAAAACTTTACTTTTTCATCAACCGTTGTTTTGGGTTTTCTGTCCTCTTTATGACGTTCAATAGCTGCTTCGTCACTTTCATCAAACTAAGAATACAAAAACAATGAATAAAATGCAGAGAATGTATCCTATAATAATCACCTTAAATAACAATGCAAGCCCATAATGTAACACACCACTTGGTAAATAATTACGTTTTCCTAAAAAGAAAACACTTATATTTCTTTTTTTGTCGATGTTTCTTTCCATCTACCTCTAATCATAAATGCTCCCGATGTCAAATATTCACCACTCGGAGCTGTTTTTGACACCTAAAAAACAGAATATATTTTTTCTAAAATATTTTATTTCAAACATGTAAGGTGTATACTTGATCATGTTTAACCCAATAAGCTGGTGCTGGTACTTTTGCTTCCCATGCTGCACTATAACAAGAAGCCATCACACCCGCTTCTTGTAGTGTCCGCGGTGGTACATCATTATCTGTTGGATTCTTTATAATAATACTTGAAGCACCATGTAAATCAGCATGAACGTACAAATCACCTTGTTTCAAATATCGTTTAACTAACAATTCATTTTGTTGTGAATCACGTCCACCAACAACCAAATAGTTATCTGAACTGATAAACCAAAAGAACTTTTCGAACCTAAACATTAAATAAAATACACTTTGAAAAAACAGAAAACGGATATAAACAACTATCATACCAAAATAGTTTTCTTGCTTTTGTAATTGTAGCAACTCGTTGTACTTCTTTCAGCAACTCTTTTGTTTTCCTATGCGCAGATTTAATAGCCTACAGCAAAAAAAATAAACAAAAACATCATCAAATTTAACTTTATAGCAGTTCATAGTGTCAACATTTGGTTTCATAATTTCTTAACTAAAAATTAAGAACTATAAAACGACTTTTGTATTCCTGCTGTGTGATCTCAAATAATTCCTCAAATATCAATCAGACTTTTCTTAACTAATAATAAAAATGAAAATTTTCGATACTGTACAACTATATCAGACTTGACATGATTAAATTACATACTTTTTCCCCTGCTTCAATCGTACGAATTTCTTTGTTTGATGATTGTTTTTTATGATCGTAATATCTGAATAAAGAAGAAACATAAAATTTTATGAAAAGTTAATTTTGTTTCATTTACTTTTCAGCATTTGCATAGGCCGATAATGAAAGATCAATATCAATCTTAACAGGTGCAAACTCATTCTCGTTTTCATCTTCTTCATCATCATCAGCAGACGGACATCTAAAATAATCAATTAAGATAAAACAAGAACAAAACAAAAAAAGGAAAGGTTTAGAGAGGACAAACACATCTGTTCTGTCATCTTACCGTTTGATGTACGTACTTGAGTAATAATGTAATATGATTAATTTCAAATTTAATATCTTTAATTATTTTTGCTACTTGATCATTTTGTTGTTTAGCATCATCAACAAATTCTTTTATTTCCGTCCAACTATATTGGTTAGCAACAGCCGTATTAATAGCTAATATTGCTTTTGTTACTAAATCACTGTTCATTATAATTAGACGAGCTTTTCGAACATCTTCATCCTAGAAATAAATAAATACTACAATTTTTCTAACGTAATTAGCTTCTTTTATCTTGATAAATATAAAACACAACATTTTATAATAGAGTAGGAGACATAACATACGATATCTATACAATCTACATACTTGTATAGATTTTAATTCTTGTAAACGTTTTAACTGATCCTGTTTAACATTATCAAGTTTCTTCAATGCCTCTTTTTCCTAAAGTCAAAAGAATTAAAAATGTAACATTAAAATTATGAGTCTCTAGTTTGAACTTACTTTATGTAATATTTGTGAGTCAACACGTTGTGATTCAATTTTAGAAAAAAATTCATCGACAGCCTAGAACAAATATAAATGAAATAGGAACTTTTGATGTAGTAAAGAATTAAAAAAATATGACTTACACGATCAAACGTTTCCAATTCTAAATATGCTTTATTTTCAAATTGTTTGAATAAAAATGGATGAAATTCTTCATAACTAAAAGAGAAAAAAATTATTTAAGTGTGCATACTTTCAACTGATCTACATGTCTGTGATGAGTGCTGTGTCTAAGAACACAATCAGCAATGGTGCTAGTTAAATCAATGAAATCTAATACTGTTAGAGAAAGAAACTTTTTAATGCAACGAATATTTCATTGACACTGATGAATATTTTTTTATCAATAAAACAGCCTTTTACTTGAGTAATTCATTGGGCACGACAGATGCTGCTGTGGTGACTGACGATATATTAGATGTTTTTTTCTCTTTACGGTAGATAATATAACCCTAAACAGACAAACAAAGAAAGAGAAAACATGTGAACTTATGAAAATAAAAAAAAATTACAAGGAACGCAGAATAGAATCAGAGAGACCTTCCTCTTTACATTTTCTTTAAGCATTCTCGGTTAGTAGAGGATACTCTGAAGTATATGTCCTAAAGCTTGTTCGGCTAAGAAAAATATTAATTAAAGTGTCAAAAATTCAAAATGACAGCATGATTTTTTTTCGTTTTGTATGACATGGTTGGATAGAGCTCATCGTGTTACCTAGAAAAAACTTAGTTTTAGATTTGGGTCGCACGAGTCGTTTTGGGGTGAAAAATTTTCATGACATTGATTTTTTGATAAATAATCAAAATTTGTTGTCTATTTCGTTTTTCTTCAGAATTCCAGAACTATTTTTTTTTTTGATATTCCATCTAAGACTGAGTATAAAAAGCTAACTGTAGCATTTTTGAAAGCTAAAATGGACTGAGAATCTGCTGAAAACGAGCAGAACCATAAAAGTGCCCCTGTACATCTTCCAAACGTAGCTAGTGCTAGGATTAACAGATAAAATGATTTCTTTTACTTCATTCTAGCCATCATATTTGTGGCAAGAAAAATAAACATTAGTTTTGAGGAATTTTGTCTCATTGCTAAGAAAAAGAATTTTTTGAAAGCGGTCGAAAAAAACAAGCATATGCACTTGTATTTTGCAGTTTTCACAATCAAATTTCAATGTTTTTGCAAAATCAATGTCTTATTTAAGACTAGCGTCAAAAACTGAGGTGAATGATATGTATTTCGGAATTTTTGAACAACTTTAATTTTTCAGCAAAACTCTCGGTCTAAAAATTCGAAAAAATTTCTATTCGTTCTTCATTTATTATAAAAACTTGTTTTTTTGCGTAGATCGATGGAGAACATTTATTACAAGAAAATATGTAAACATTCTTGTTTTTTCTTTCCTGTTATCGACTAAGCAATACTAACTAATTAACGTTAATTTAGCCTACTCTACTGGCTTGCAGTTCTATTCGCAAAATAAAAAACTCAATTTTGATAGTATTTGACCGCGAGATTTGTTTTTTGATTTTAAAAGTTCAAAAATCATAAGAATTAATGTGTCAAGCGAAACTAACCGTTAGGCTATTTTGAAAATACTTTTTACTCTGACACTGCAACGAGAAGGTGAAAATGAAATTTCTACGTCAGACTTCATCTGAGAAGGATAACATTTTTCTGTCCGTATACAATTTAATGTCCTCCATCGAACTTCGCAGTCAACAAAAACTAGAAGTCTGAAAACTGAAAAAGTTTTTGTTACATATACTCCAAAATGTCCTCTACAAACTGGTGAAATAAATGGGTGGATGACATTCTTAAGTTTAGGAGTTCATTTATCTGAAAAATTCACACGAAAACCACTAGTCTGTTTTAGCTAAGTAATGTGATACTTATAGTCACAGATAACAGCTTTCTAGATCAAGTTAATTCGAGCTAAAAGTTAATTGTTTACTTTAAAACCCTTTAGTACTACAACTTCTGACGGAAGATGGTAGTCGGATTAAATTAAAACTGTTTGTTCTCATTTGTTTATTTATTGCACAGGTTTGTAGTAATATTACTTACAAAGAGTTACTTACTTTACAATCACCCGAATCAGCTTTATGTAAATAATTCATAGCTAATTTAAGTTCATTGTGTAATTTCTCAACATCTAAAGATAAACAATGAATTTAACTTTGATAATTGTAATTCAATAGTCAAATACCATTGTTCACATCAAAATTTTTTCCCAAAAGACAATTTTCATTAAAACCAGCCTTTAATAAACATTCATCCACAACAGCTGAACCAAATGCTAGAAAAGAACAAAACAACACATACAAAATGCAGCAGGAAACATTTTAGAATTATCATAAGAACCAGCAGAAAATTATGGTGATCTAAAAGATTAACTACTATTTATAATAGGAAAAAGTTTATTATAATGTATTTTCATAAGATTCTATACACTTCCAAGTATGATCTTTTTTGTTGTGAACAGTAAAATAACCGTCTTGTGAATTAATTCATGAAAAGATTAACTTCTTGAAATTTGAGCGAAAACAAGTAGAATTTAGTTCTTCCTGGCCATTACATTAGAAAATAGAAATCTGTTCGAATTTTGGTTTCCATTATTGTCTTTAAAATTAAAAAAGTCTAGCTAAATATATCAGTTTTAAACCGAATAATAGAAATTTTGGACAGCGCGAAATTGCAGAATGGACACGATTTCACCAAAATATATAACAGGTATACTTTTCTTACTCGACAAATTTAGATGTGCAAAAATGTTTAAATACAGCTTAATACAAAAATTTTTCAAAGATTATAAAATATCTGTTTAGTTTTATTCCTATTACAAAGGATCCGCGGATAAAATCAAATTGCTTTTTAAATCACTTTTTTACCTAGCTTTTGACCTCCTTGTTCACTTTTATAGTTTGTAATAAAATACAAGATTTTTTATAAAGAATTGAATAGGAAATCTTTTACAAAAGAATAGGTTCTACGGATAACGAAATAAATAAAAGAATATTGGCATCTACACTCTTCTTATTAGGGGTGACAATATTTCTCAACTTTTACAATGACCAAGACTCCAATAATAAACCAACAAAATTTCGCCATTCTTTATCGTAGCAATCGTAGTTTCACTAGACTAAACTAAATAGCTAACCGACGATGGATGATGGCTCTTGTTGTTTCTTCATTCAGAAAAAGCTCTTTCTTTTGCTATACTAGATCAACTAAATCTAAAACACATACGCAAAAGTGGATTTAATATTTTCTTGATCGATTCATTTGCTTGTGAATTTTTAAGAATTTCAGACAATCTAAAGAACGAAAATAATAAGCTGATTAGACTGTGAAAATACCATAAACCAATGTTAAAAAATGTTAAATAACACACTTTTCAATGGATAATAAATCTTCTTGTTGTCTAACATTCTCAATTGCATATGTTTCATTTACGGCAAACTTTTCATCTGTAGACTGATCCAAACGTTTACGAAGTAATGTTAAAATCATATACTTGTAATCGGTCAATATAATATTGCCCTACATAGACAAAAAAAACATCGACATAGCGGAACTAACATATGCTTTTCTTTATATAAATTAAATACTCCAAACTACGCATGGATTATCAAATCTACAGCAGTCTTAGAATTGTTCTTTAAGCAACTGGTTTTCTAGACAAGAAACCAAAACATAAACCTAGTCAGTTTTTTTTAAAAAGATTCAAACTCTTGTATTTTTAACTTTCCTCTTCATAATATTGTTAAACAGTAGTAATAGTTAATAAATTTGTTTCACAACCTGTTTTTCGTTACAGAAAAGTTAAAAATATCAGAATAGTAACAAAAATATCGTAAATAATACGGAAAGAGTGTTCCACCACCTACATTCTTTGTACAGCTTTAAGTAAGAAATATAGCACTGCGACAAAATGCATGTTCAAGTTATCACTTAAAACACTACTCGAGCTTTCGACCTTTATTCAAGGGTCATCGATCTATTTTCTTCACTACACCACTTCCAAAGTCTTTGTACAGCTGTAACTACTTTTATTTTTAGCTTCTACAGAAAATGTTTTACCCCATATACATTCGAACAAGTTTCTCACCCTATCGTATAATTCAACAATTAAATGATACGCTGCTTCTCCGCTGCCAAACTGCATGTCAACAATACGATCAATACCAAGTTGTTCAATTGATTCTAAACGTCGAGATTTTAAATGTTTACGAAGCTAAAAATAAATAGAAAAGAAAAGAATTATTAGTAAATATGTTGGAAGAGCAATTTTTACTTTCATAGAAAAACCGGATGGTATTAATCCTTTTGGCCAGTCAAATTCTGTTGTATGAATACGTGTGGCTGATTCAATAAGTAATACACCTTTGTCATCTGGTCTAAACGAACAAACAAACAACCAAAAACGATTGTTATAATTATTGTAATTCAAATAATTTACTTTGAGAATTTAATCAAGTATGTTTTGTTGTCAACGTCGTAGATATTCGCTACTCTTACTCCAATAAATCTAGATAACAAAAGTACGTTTTATATCATCAAAAGAACACAAGTAATACATACCGTTTTCGTATTGTAGCTATACCAGCTTTCAAATCGAGCGTTGTAAAACGAACTTTTTTTGCCGGCATTTTTTCTAAAAGTGATAAAATGCAGAGAATACAAGAATCGACCACATCGAGTTCAGTTCTCACTTGATAGAAGAGCGTTTCTTAAATAGTGCTACCTACGGGCATAAGTACAAAGGACTTTGATCCAGAATCGTTTTTAAGTGGTAATAAGATAAAAGTCAACGATGAACTTCCTCTTTCTCTGTGCAATAGTAACTAGCTCTCTCCTCGTTCTGTCTCATGCTATCTCACTTATTTCTTAGCAAATTTTGAATCTGTTCAAACGTTTCATTATAGGCTGTTTGCTTAATTGATACAGAGATAAGCGAGGAGAGTAAATAAATCAATTAATTAACAACACTATCACTAAAGCTGAAGAATAATGCATGAATGCTGAACTATTATTGACTGCTTTTACAAGATTATGTGAACAATATGCGTCAGCAAAGCATTATTTATTTCATCAAACATCTTAAGTAATCAACTCAAACTTCTATCCTTTCTAAAATCTCATTACTCAATAACACTTAGAATTAGCTGAGATGTATGCAATATCAATCACTCTCTCTATAATTTCTGCTTAGCTTATATTCGATATTTACGTACTTAACGCACCAATCAGATTTCCATATCTGCCTCTTTCTAGTCACTCTTTCTTCAACATAATTGACAACAAATCTTTTGTTCATATTTTAAAGTAAAATGGTCCACCTTTTAGATGAATCAGTTTGCTTTAAACCTAAACAACACCGGGCTAGATGGCGTGATTTGTCCGTTATTATTATATTCCTTTAAGTATTAGAAAAAAACATTTTCTGTAATATTTTTGCTGTGTTTTGAAGTCTAGCGTAAATCCAACTAGTAAGTGATTGTACTAGACTCATTCTCGAATGTCTGTAGAAATCAATGAATCTCAGTATTTTTCGTGACAGAAAGGGGATAAAGTTACTAATACCTTTCTCTTCGATACACACATATTGTTTTGATTTTTAGCAGTAAATTGAGTATGTTCTAGGTTAGACTACTCGTGTGGTAAACCCGTGGAGTATACTCTACGGGTTTACCGCAGATTTGTATACTTATTACTCGAGTATAAGTATACAAGCTTGTTGATAAGCTCTTAATCAGCTTTGCAATAAGCCTGTCAAAATGTACTGATTAGATGGGATGCGTTCCAAAATATATTCTAATCGTTCAGTTATTTCTTCATTCATAACTGAATTTCTCTGTTCCGTTCATTAGGTCGATATAGCTAAAATGCCGACAATTAAAAAAATAGCATGTTTCTTTTCTGTTTTCTTGGCAGGATTGGATAGCGCTTATCTAGTTACCTAGAAAAAACTCGATTTCAAATTTTAGGAAGACACTTTTTAGTGAAAAAATAAAATTTCAAAACATTGATTTTTTTAAAAAGGTTAATTTTTGAATAATAAGCAAAATTTTCATGTTTGGTGGTCTTTTAAAATCCCAAAACCATTTTTTTCTTATTTTTTATTCAAAACTGAGTCTGGAAAGCTAATTTTGGAAATTTTAGAAGCTAAAATGGACTCAGAATCTGCGAAACACGAGCAGAATGGTAACGGGGTTGTCAGTCAATTTTGCAAACCTATCTAGTTGTCTAGGCTTATAAGTCCTAGGACTAGATAGGAGGCAAAATTCTATGTTTTACGACATTCTGATTGTCATATTTGTGGGGTAAAAAGTTACGTATCCTTTTTGAAAAATTTTGTTTCATTGCCAAGAAATTCAATTTTTCGAAATCAGTGAAAAACCAATGAAATTGGGCTCGTATTTTGCCGTTTTCTCTATCAAAATTCAAATTTTCGACAAAACTAATGCCATTTTCGGAATCAGCATTAAAAATTGAGTTGAAACGTGGATGTTTCGAAATCTTTAAATAATTTCGCCTTTTGAGTAAAAGTTCTGAGTTTTCAATTTTTAAGAAAATCGAGAAAAACCGAAAAATTTTTTACGGCAGCTTATGATATAACATAATTTAGAATTATTTTATACATAATCGCCTTGTTTTGTAATTATATAAACATATAACGTGTAAAATCGTTTTATCTTTACAAATGATGGGGTGGTACATAGAAAAACAATGTTTCTATATTTCAGAATGCATAAGCAGCTTCAACTAAATTTTATCTTTCTAGTCTTTTCAGACTTTCCGAAGATTTTTTAGTGAAAGGTCTGATTTTTATAGATTGCGAGCGTGTTACATCATATAAATGCTTAAACACGAGTTGATGGGTAAAAAGAAAATTTAGCGATGCTTTCAGTATTACCTATACAGAATTCGGCATGCACCAGTTTTTAACTGGTGTCGGGGCATCCGGGAGAATTGCTATACATCAGTTATCACGATTCTCTCAGAACTGTGAAACATCTCGTTTTGTAGAAAACTGTTTGCTCTACAAAATGCATTTGTTAAAAAATTCCAGAATCACTTCTAAGAAAACTTAAAGTATTCTAAAATGTACAAAATCAAGGAAAAAAAGCTGTTCGAACAGTTCTTTTTCCATGATTTAATGTATTTTAGAATACGCTAAGTTTTCTTAGAAGTGATTCTGAAATTTTTTTAACAAATGCATTTTGTAGAGCAAACAGTTTTCTACAAAACGAGATGTTTCACAGTTCTGA